ATGGCATAGTGCTTAATTAGTTAAGCACAGGGACAACTTTACCAGACTGACTTGTACTGGGAAATGTATGTTACATTATATGATACCAGTCTTGTATACTTGTTAACACTCAATGTCACTACTACTCAATCTCTCAAGTCTTCACAATCAACCACAATGTCTCCACCTAACACATGAAATCTTGCAAGGATGGAAGTCAAGACAGAAGTCAAAATTGAGAAGGTTGATGTCCTTTGAGAAAATATGTGGACCAATCAAGAAAAGATAAAAGCCAGTAAAAAGAATTAAATCAAGAATAGATGCTCTCATCTCCTGGATGCATGCCTGCCAAGCCAAGACAGATGATAACCACAAGGAGCTGATGACCACAGTGAACGCCAAGTCAAGAAAGGATGGAAGCCCTGAAGCATGTCTGTCTAGAGACGACAGTGGCCTGCCTAGAAAAGACTGATGCAAATCAGAAAAAAGCAGAAACCAAGATGGAAGCACGTGTAGAAGAGATGGAAGTGGAGACTATCGGAGAACCAAAGGACCAATCTGGGGACCAGCAACCAGCTGTTGGATGTTGGTACCCACTGAAAATGCAGATCAAGGACACTGTTGTATGCAGAAGCCCTGAAGAATGGACATTTGAGAAGAGTCATCAGTCACAGATGAAATGTAACAATGGCATAAGGGAAATGTCAATGAGGCCCTGAGATAGACCATAGTACTGTAGTTTGTCAAGCTAGCAGCAAGGGCTTCTGTCAGGATTAAGAAAATGGGTGTTAAGGCATTGCAGAGGAGTCAGCCACCACCCAAGTGAAGAGACCACTAGCGGCTTTAGGGCCAGAGATGTAGAAGCACCAGCCACTCTAAGAAGTTTTATTCACACCGACTTGAAACGAATAAATTGCAGTAGGTCTGTAGCCTACTCAGGACAAACATCCTTGAGGAGGAAGCAATGTGACATTATAACTGAAGAGACATTACTAGGTTATGGCATAGTAAACAACATCAGTGTAACAATGACTGCACATGCAAAAGAACAACACTGTTTTCTGTGTGCTGTGCACAGATACCAAGGCGATACAATGAAGACTAGCTGCCATTACAAGACAGTCTTGACATAACGGTAGGAGGTTGGTGTGTGATGTCCACCAGCCTGATAGGACGTGAGCCTGGGATTGAAGGAACATCCACTGTTGCAAGACATTATCAAGCAGTACAGAGAAGACCATGACTGAGAACACTAGTCTTTGTATAACAGTGAATTGTAAAGTGTAGTTATAAGGTGTTCAACAGTCCAATAAATCCAGTTACCAATATGCAATAAATATTGTAATAAAGAGTTTTCATTGCACATTTTCCTGTTATCTCCTTTTGACATGGCCCAGTCTCAGGTATTTATATAGCTATAGGTATAGTGACATGGACTGTCCTGTGACTGGGACCCAACAGAGTGGTTGTGTTCCCTTCTCCCAAGGATGGAAAAAGATCCGAAACGTTGTGTTCTATAATTTTTAGAATATCAGATGATGGACGAAATCCAAAATCCCAGTAATTCTGAATGTCATACGCCATTACCATAAACCTTTATACTCTACTGTATTTCCTTATTATTAAACTACCTGTGGGAACATCCCACATATTATCATGCTGTTTTGCTGATCAACAGTCAACACTAATTTCTAAGTCCATGGCACATTGCTGTCAGCTCTCATATTTATACAGCGCTCGCTGTCCGGCTCACTTTTCACCATCACGCGTGCTAACTAATCACATTGCTTCCAACACTCGCATTTATACAGCACTCGCTGTCTAGCCCACATTCAGATCATTACACGCGCTACCCAATCAGCGCTCACAATCGCAACTGCAAGTTTCGCTCCTCCATCAAGCATGGTATAAAAGGTGGAGCCCAAAGCTTGCAATCATCGGTGACCACATCAGCCAGTCAGCCATCACACCTAGTCCAGAGCGATCGGTTTTCAGAGTCATCGGCTCTTCACTGCATCAGGGACGGCTGCCTCGGCTCTCTGGTGGTCATGCCCAACACACAGGGCAACTGGAGCAGCTGCTGCCACTCCAGCGACTGCACTCCGTGACCAGACATCTTCCAGCGACCGCGCTCCACGACCAGACATCTTCCAGCAACCACGCTCTGCGACCAGGCAACTTCCGGCAACTGCCGCACTGCGACCAGGCAACATCCGGCAACTGCCGCACTGCGACCAGGCAACATCCAGCAACTGCCGCAACATTAGCCAACACTCCGTAGCCGACATTACTTCTACCGGCACACGCAGCCCTACTTCACTAGCCAGACACACCAGTCAATGGCAGTAAAACTCTAACTACCGCGGTGGAACAAACGGCCCTTTTCAGGGCCCACAAACTTTCCGAAGTGGTTGTCTATTGGAGTATCGACAAATCCCACACACCCATCAATAATGCAACGATATTCTTTTAAAATAGAAGACTTCTAAAATATATTTCTCACTAAAAGTGACACTTTAATACTTTACAATGTTGTTAAAATCATAAAATGTCCATAAGACACTAAAAGTAAACATAAAATTACTAAAATGTCTCTAGTTTTATGTATGGTTTTTCTCACTTCACATGTTTCAGCCACACATGGGCCATCATCAGGCACTTTTCCTTTTGATTTTCGGGGAGACCATTGCACTGTTCACTTGTCTATCATCAGTGTTTGCTAATATACATTATACACTGCAGTATGATGGCCACAAAAGAGTACGACAGTGTTCTTGTCATGACATAAAAGCAATAATGACAATAGACAAGTGAACAGTGCAGTGGTCTCCTTGAAAAACAAAAGGAAAATTGTCTGATAATGGCTCATGTGTGGCCGAAACATGTAGTAAAGTGAGAAGAAACATATGTAAAACTAGAGAAATTTCAGTAATTTGATGGCCACTTTTAGTTTATAAGTTACACTTTTAGTGTCTTAATGATATTTTATGATTTAACAACATTGTCAAGTATTAAACTGACACTTTTAGTGAGAAACATATTTTAGATGTCTTTTATATTTAAAAAAAATATTGTTGCATTACTGATGGGTGCTTTAATAACAAGGATAATGCCTCAATGCAACAGGATGATAAAAATATACTTTATTTCAACTAAATAAGTAGACAGCGGCCAGTGGCGTGCCGTGCATGGAAGCAAGGGAAGCATTGCTTCCATAGTTAAGAAACGAAGAGAAAAGAAGTCATATATAAATAATTCAATCTGAATAATAAGGATTTGCATATTGTCATATAGCAGGCTTTCCTGCTCAAGGCCACATGCCTCCTCCTTCTCCCTTCCCTTGCTTGGTGGGATGGACAAAGTTTCCTTCGTTATTCTCCGTTAAAGTTCATTGCACACGAAGTGGCAAGGAAGCAACTTTCTGTTTGCTGGCTAATGCCTGTGATACGGAAGCGAAGGCCTGTGTTCTTTCAATGGTTATGAGAAAATTAACTGTTTATGTGTGATTTCAGTCTTGTTGGGTGTTATAGGTAACCTTAAGTTTCATTAAAACATTGTAAGTGTATATTTAGATGGCGTAAGATTGTATTTGTGATCGTATTTTGACGCATCAGAAAGAAGCTATCTGCGTTTAAGGGAAGCAAATCTCTTACTGCAGTACACAGGCAGGGACGTGATTAGACAGGCCACAGCTAAAATGAATGCTGGCAGACAACACGACTGTGACTGTGCAATCGAAAGCATTTTAAAATGGAGGTTTAGTAGCAGGGACTTTTCTGAAAAGAAAATAATTACAGAAAGAGGACGACTGACATGAGAGGTGCCAGAACTTAAAGCACAAACCAAATTTAAATTGGAATAGTATTCTAAAACAGAGTGGCTATCTGGTTGCCGTAATATAGGAAAATTGTTTTGTTGGCCATGCCTATTGTTTCTCATTGAAAAAATGTATGGAACAAGACTGGGTTTGGTGATACCAACAAACTTCATAAAGCATTGAAACGACATGAGAACTCTCAGACTCACATTATTTCAACAATGCAACTTGTTATGTTCAGGAAATCTCGAATTGACTGTCAACTTGACAATCAAAAGCGCCTGTCAATACTACATAGAGAAATAATGAAACGCTTGATTGATATCATCTGCCATTTAGGAAAGTGGCAACTTGGCCTTCATGGTCATGACGAAAGCATGGATTCTATTGACCGAGGTAATTATGTGGAATTAGTTCACTTGTTGAGGAAATATGGTCATAAACTCAATGTTCACCTTGAGAACAGTACGGTAGTTACAGGTTTATCGAACAGAATACAAAAATACCTTATTGATTCAATAAGTGACGTAAATTTTGGTGAGTTGATTGCTATCAGTTTGATTATTAGGTACCACTGCTTCCCTTACCTAAAATAGTATCGCACGCCACTGACAGCAGCATACAATGGATGTTCTGAACCTGTAAATGTAATCTTAATTACTTTACTTACTTTCTCATGGAGCGCAGCCCTTCTTGAGGAGCCGCCAATTCTGCAGCTACTCAAGAATTTCCCAACATTTTATGGAACCCAAAGGTTCATAACCGTGTTCACGAGAGCCCTCCACTGGTCCCTATCCTGAGCCAGATCTATCCAATCCATACCATTTCATCCTATCTCTCTAAGATCAATTCTAATATTGTCCACCCACCTATGCCTTGGTCTTCCCCGCAGTCTCATTCCTTCTGGCTTTCCCACCAATATCCTATATGCATTCCTCGTCTCCCCCATTCGTGCTACATGACCTGCCCACCTCATCCTCGTTGACTTGATCATTCTAATTATACTTGGAGAAGAGTACAAGTTATGAAGCTCCTCATTATGCAGTTTTCTCCAACCTACTGTCACTTCATCTCTCTTTGGTCCAATTATTCTCCTCAACACCCTGTTCTCAAACACCCTCACAGTCTATGCTCCTCCCTTAATGTGAGAGACCAAGTTTCACACCCATACAGAACCACAGGCAAAATTATAGTTTTGTATTTTCTAATTTTGATGTTTTTGGACAACAGACGAGAAGACAAAAAGTTTTGGACTGAATGGTAGCATTACCCGAGTTCAATTGCCTCTTAATTTCCTCCTGAATCAGGTTTTGATCTGTTATCACTGTTCCCAAATATGTAAATGTAATTTAACCACAGCAAACAAGGGACGAAGGGTCCTACCGGTGGGCCTGAGAGGCTGCAGGTAAGTTATGTGGTGTGTACTCTTCTTCAATCAGTATCATTTCCCCTGATGGCAGATTCACTGTCGGGCTGGTCAGGTTGTCAGCTGCCCCACCACTGAGCAGCATTGTAGTGTTCCATGTTTCATGAGTTGCTCGGTAGTAGCTTTCATTTCTCATAGGGTTTAGGTTCTGGTTTGTTACCTGCCCTGTCAGACGATCAATAACAGGATTTCTTGATGAAACACTCTCTGTATTATCTGCAAAACAGAATAAATTGGCCACCATTATACAGTCTTGAAAATTACTGTGTCATTATATAACCAACTTAAAAGAAAAAATAAAGGGAAGAAATTGCATCTGATAATTTACTGGTATTTTACATCCACATATGTATTCATTATAGAACTTGACAGCATTTGCTTTACTTATACAGGGGATGGACAAAAATATGGAAACACCTTGTGAAATGCATGCCTGAAATGAAGTGTTTATTTTAGCGACGTTTGTAGGTGACGCTGTCTTATCTGCCCAATATCACTACCTGTACAACCTCCGAAATATGTTGCAAGCTTCATTTGTTGTCAACACAGTGTTCTGTGCAGTTTTTTTAGTGCATCATGTCAGAGCTAACAGAATTTGAACGTGGGCAAATTGTTGGGGCCCGTATGGCGGGTGCTTCTGTAACCAAGGTAGCCGAGGTTTTTGGTGTTTCGCCACGTGCAGTATTCAAGATTATGACCGCATACAGGACTGAAAAAACTGCATCCGATAAACACCAGTGTGGACGGAAAGGTGTGTTGAGTGATCGAGACACACAAACATTGTGTAGGATTGTGACGAAAAATAAGAAGACTACAGCTGCAAAAGTGGCTGCTGAACTGAATGTCACACTCACAAACCCTGTCAGCACTAAAACAGTATGAAGGGAACTCCACAAGCAAGGTATTTCTGGACGAGCTGCAATTCCAAAGCCGCTCATCAGTGATCAAAATGCCACTAAGAGGAGAGTGTGGTGCCGAAGTCATAAAACCTGGAATATGGAGCAATGGAAGATGGTCATTTGGTCAGATGAGTCCACCTTCACACTGTTTCTGACTTCTGGCAGAGCTTACGTCTGCAGAATGCCATCTCAAGCTTACAATCCAGATTGTTTGCTGCCAAGAGTGAAACATGGCTGGGGTTTGATCATGGTACGGGCAGACATATCATGGTATTCTGTCTGACCCACTATTACTCTGCAAGGTCACGTCACTGCCAACGACTATGTGACCATTTTGGGTGACCAGGTCCATCCCATGGTGCAAACTTTGTTCCCCAATGGTGATGCCATTTACCAAGCCAACAATGCCTGTGTTCACATAGCTCACATCGTCCAGGACTGGTTTTCTGAGCACTAAGATGAAGTGACACATCTGCCATGGCCCCCACAATTGCCAGATATCAATATTATTGAGCCTTTGTGGTCTGTTTTGGAGAGCAATCTGCGTGTGCGCTATCCACCTCCATCATCGTTAACAGAACTTGCCAATGTTTGGCAGGAAGAATGGTACAAGACTCCCTTGCAAATCATACAGGACCTCTATTTATCCATTCCAAGGAGACTGCAAGCAGTTCTGCAAGCCTGAGGTTGTCCTACACCATATTAGTCACGATAATGTGTTTTTGTTGGGTGTTTCCATATTTTTGTCCATCCCCTGTATGTGATCTTTACATATGCTGGTGGTCTACTGCATCCAACCTCTGGCTTTATGCTTGGCACAGCTGGATGATAACATCACTATCAGCGTTTATTACTTGGTAGGCTAGCCCATAAATTCTGTGTTATAATAATACGTATGTGTGTGTATTTCTTTTAATATAATAAAAAAAATGCTATTTTATTTATTTATTTATTTTTCCAACTAAACAGTCTGGGTTGAACACATGGTGCAATCACTTGAATGGTAAGAAAAACGATTTCCAGTTTTAGGGTTGGTCATTACGCCCCTTAGAAATGAGGAAGTACAGCCATGATATAAATATCAGATATCTGGAAGGCAGCTATGTCCAACAATTAAGTCTTTCATATGCCTTCATGCATAAACTTTAATAGTTTAATATTGACTATTATGACATCTCTTTTGATACCATATGAAAGCATCAATTTTTATAATGAAACCAAACATGTTCAAACACACCAGTAATCATTAGTTCTTCACAAATATTTGTACTGTGCACTGACAGCTCACCTCTCAAGAAGCATACAATGATGCTGTACATTATCACCATACTGACACAACAAAGAAGAAAATGAGCATGAGGCAGCAGTATACAATACAGTATCAATATGATGCATCAAATATGAAGAAAGACGCATTTAACTATGCTTCACGTAAACTTTGATTTAAAAATAATTTTAACTTGTCATAAATATTTTATAATTTTGACACTTTAAATCTTTTATCCAAACACACAAACTGTAAAGTTTTCTTTAATATCTGGGATCCCCCCTCCAAAACTGGTCATTTATCACCCAAACATATTTGGGTTTTAATAGTATGAGATGCTATTTGAATGTTCCTGAATTGGGTAAAAAAGAAATGCTGGCTCAACTTATTTAATTTTGGCTGCCATCTCCTTGGGAACGTATACAGCAATCCCATCATTTTTTCTATGTTTCAAAAGTACCGTTGATGTCATTTTCCTTAATGCTGTCAAGTACCACTTGCGATTCCCCTTGGCTGTCAGACACTATTTCAAAACGTCATCCCTTCAGTTTCATTTTCAATTTGGGAAACAAGGCAAAAACACAGGGAGCTAAGTCTGGCCAAATTATTTTAACATTTCAAGTAAGGAAACATCTTAAGCCAGCTAATCTTAAAATGGGTTTCAATGGACAATTATAGCAGCACCACAGTGTCTGTGGGTGAGGGGAGAAGGGTTGCAGTTTCCACCTTCTCTAATATGTTGTGCACCATAAAAAAGAAAATCACAGAATGTAACAGGCAACATAAAACAGACTGGCAGAAACATACGACAGAAGCAGTATAACAGAGATGAAAGTTTGTGTGACAATAACCTGTATATTTGACAACATTCAGTTTTACAAATCTCCATTAAACGTAACACAAAAGTTAAAAAGAGAAATGTAGTACAGAGGTAGTCAGGAATATACTGCAATGTAAAACTTACCAGCACTCTTATCAGGAGATTTGGCACTAAGGTGGCTGCTTTCTCTGGAATGATCAGTTTCATCCTTATAGGGTAAAAAGATCACTGTATTATCAGAATTTTCACTTGTACCTGAGTTGTCTGGGGTGTAGGCTTCATTTTCTGACTTATTACCTCCACTGCAAGCAAAAGTCTCTGTCCCTGTAACAACAAGGTCATCTAGTTCATAAACTTCAGTTGTTTCGTTAAATAAGATTAAATTTGAAGGACTCAACTATCTGCTAATTAGTCTCGGGAGTTTCATACTTATATCATGTAACATGGTTTAAACACCAGACATATGATCAGTGTTTTACCTGAGGAACTTGTCAGTAGGCTGGATACAGAATCTCGACCTGACTGAGAATGTTGGTGGCCATTGCTGAGGCTGTGAGGTCCAGGGGATAAAACTCTTCTGGCTATTGTTAAGGATATCACACCAGGTATGGGCCCTTCTGTGTGTAGCATGGCTCTCCTGAAATACATCATACTATGGCTAAAATGTAGGACAGTTAATTTGTGTAAAAGATATGACAGTATTAACATCAACATTAAGAATTAATTGAGGACTTGTGAATGTTATAAAGGAAATTTTTATGAATAAAATTAAAATATTTAATGTAAACAGCTGTACAGAATCACAAAAGGATTCATAATGTCACATGTCTGGATGATTAGAGTTGGAGTTCAGATTGGTAAATGGATTTATTAATCACTTACAGGTCGTAACTACAATTAATTATCACACTATTGCTGTTTGACACAATGCACAATCTCTTCATAAGAATCTGTGAAATCTTAAAATAAAGCCTTCAGTTCACACAATAAGTCTTCACTGGCTGACTTCTCAGCTATCACTCACTATCACTGACTATCACACTCATAAAACCTTCAAATCACATGTTCAGGTCTTCTTCCACTACGAAACTCTTGCTACTGTCTCACACCAAGAACTGACTCAGAACTAACTTCTTAGGAATTTCAGTCTCTCCTACAAACCCTTGAACGGACATGTGAGAAACAGCTTGCTCTATTGTTATGTAATTGTCGTGTTTACAGAGGCATTGCTCAGCAATGTGTCAATTAGATGCTGCCAAGATGTTCTTACCGCAGCACTGCCTAACAACGAGTGCGGTGCAGCTCGGAATGGCACGGCACGGCACGGCACGGCACAGAACAGCACGGGGAAAACACCGCTTTCCTTATTGTTGCATAATTGCCATGTTTACAGATTTCTGTGGCCCAACAATTCTTGCATGGTGCAAATATGCCACAATATGCTTTCAAACTTGTGTAAGTCTTCCATATAATACAAATAACATGAAACCCTTACTAGTCCTTCAATTTATTGCATTTGTCATCTTACTGTTACCCAAGATAGAATGAGATGATCCCTTCAGGCATTCACTTCACATATAAAAGATCAACATACAGCTGATACAAATGAGTGACAAATAATAAAATACTAGGTCAAACACCTTAATGTTTCCATGGCATCAGAGTTGGACTGTGCAAGAAGTGAAATGCCATTCACATTGAGAAGTTGGTCATTTGTTTGAAGACGACCATCTCTTGAGGCTGCACCTCCATGCAGGACACTCTTCACGAAGATCCCTAAGTCTACCGATGATGAACCACTGCTTTCATTACTATGATTCACACCATGACTTGCAGATGTTTTACCTTTGACACTCACTCCTGTAACAAAAGGACATACATAATTTTAAAAACACAACCCCAGTTCTCATTATGCATACCTGATAACATTTGCAATAAATGTAAACAATTTTACTAACCAAGACCAGCCTTTTCAGTATCATGGACTGGAATGTCAAATGTGAGAATTTCTCGATGCTTCCATGGAAATACCAATCCATCATCATGCACTTTCTCTGGTGGCTATTGAAAAATGAAACAAATTGAACCTAAATTAGCCATATCACATTAAAATACAAGTATAAATATATTTTTAAGTAATACTTAAATTTTATACTAGTGTTAACAGAAAAGAACTGTAATTTTATTTTTAAAAGATAAAAGGACTCACTGCAAAAATCATACTAATATAAATTCAGAATGCCTCCATGTGCTTGGGGCAAGCTAGAAAATCACTAACTTCAAACTCTGCCACTTAACAGTTTCAGTGTGCATAATCAACTGTATTATGTAGAGACAACATACTGAGTAAACTCACGGTTTGTCTTTCATATGTCCTGTATGCAAAAATCGAAAGATTCAAGGGATCTTTGCAAATTTGCACCTTTCATCTGCAGTTTTTTTGCATTTTTTTTTCTTCTAAAAACATGTTTGCCTGTACTCCCCTGCCAGTTCTAGCTTCAGGGTCAAAATGCATAATGCACTGACATATATCAAACTTAGTATTTTAACAAATTTGCCAGTACACATCAACTTCTTGCTGGTATACATACTGGTGTGTGCTGGCTAATCAAGAAATTCACTGCTGCTATTGGTCATTACTGCATTGATCACTATGCTGAATCAGCTGTATCCTCTTTATATTTCCATGTCCCATTTCTCTAAGATCTACTGCACACCTAGTCCCAGACTAACTTGTGCCCTACAAACATGGATTTAGTTTAACACAGTTCTTAAAGTTGGAATAGTTTTCAAGTAACACAGCTGGTATTTTGGTTTAACACAACTGGATTTGGTGTAACAAAATTTTTTCCATAACTTCTCCATTATGTTATAATCAGGGCCCGGATTTTTTAAAAATGCATATTTTGAGGGTTTTTTTTTCATTATTGCATATTCTAAAGGTAAGATGATAATTTTTAATATTCTCTAACAAAATCGGGTTTTCCTGTGTTTTGGACATCCCTTGCCAGTTGCTATTCTCAACTCTCTGAGTAACGGCACTTTTACCACTTACATTACAAGCAGGTAGCTTGGCTATTTCGAAAGGGAGAGGGTGGGATTTTCCTGCATTGCTTTGACCACCACAGCAGACAGCAGCATCAGAGGGTTGGTCTTGAGAGAAGTCTCTTCAGTTAATGTGTTATTCTTTTCTTTAATAGTCTGCATCAAAAAAATGTTCATGTACCAAAAATGCCTAAAGAAGAGTGCAGCAGTAGATATTTAAAAAATCGGTGGGTGTCGGGTAATAGTGACTATTCAACAGACGGTGTCGTCGTGTGTAATGTCAAGTGTGCGCAAAGGAAGTAAAATGTGAAAAGAAATTTCAACTTGAACAACACTCAAAAACGACTGAAAATATTACGAAAAAGAAGGGGAATAAGAACAGCACACCACAACAACAACTTCTTACACAGGTCAAACCCAAATCCTCTGTTAATACATTTTCAGCCGATCTTTGTAAGGCTTTAGTATGCAGCAACATTCCATGGAATAAATTAAGCAATCCAGTTCTGTGATCATTTCTGGAGAAATATTGTGTACTTCAAAAAATACCAGATGAATCAACTCTACTCTGGGATCAATCCGTTCTGACATCTGAGGGAACTGTGTCTGGATATCGGTGGATGAGACAACCGATTAATGTGGCGATACATAGCAAATTTTGTAGTTGGTAAGCTACATCCAGATGGACCCAGCAAACCTCATCTTCTTGTTTGCAAAGTACTAGAGAAAACCAACCATAGTACAATAGCAAGATTTGTAAACGATTCTCTGCAACTACTATGACCATCTGAAATTGAGTATAATTGTTGTAAGGTGCTTGTATTACTTACAGATGGAGCTTCCTATATGTTGAAAGCAGCAAAGGCCTCACAAGTATTTTATCCAAATCTTATACACATAACCTGTTTAGTGCACGGGTTACACCGTATTGCAGAAAAAATACGCACACAGTTTCCAGCTGTTAACGCTTTAATTGCAAGTGGGAAAAAAACTGTTTCTGAAAGCACCAGCTCATGTCCAGTTCTACAAAGATTGCCTACCTCAGGTTCCTCTGCCACCTGAACCTGTCCTAACTAGGTGGGGGACATGGTTATCTGCAGTTTCATTTTATCAGGAGAATTTCAATCGGGTAAAAGAAGTGGTTACGAAACTTGAAGATGAGTATGCATGTGTTTGTGAAGCAAAAGTGTTGTTTGGATGTGATACTGTTTCTCAAGATGTGAATTTTATCCATGCACATTTTTCTAGAGTTTCAAAAGCCACTGAAAGCTTAGAATCTTGTGGTGAACTCCTTCACGACTCACTTGAACTCGTTCAGAAGGCAACTTGTTCACTGAATTCCGCTCCAGGCAAAATAGGAGACAAAATTAAATGCAAATTAGAAATGGTGTTGAATTCGAACCCAGTCAGTTAGTCAGTACTTGAGTGGAATTAGGGTATCTTTGCCAGATGAATGTTCCGAACCTTCGGCGCCAGTGTATAAATACTGTCCAATACGTCAGTTGATGTAGAAAGATCATTCTCAGCCTATAAACTCATTTTGATGGACAACAGATATAGTTTGTCTCCAGAAAACACTGAAAGACTTCTAGTTGCCTATTGTGACGCTACTTTCTGCAGTGAATGATATGTGTAAATAGATTAGTCTGAATAAAGTGACCTGTTTCTTAAGTGCATATTGTTTTATTCTGGTGCATATTTTCCCACTCTTTAGCGCATATTTTAAGTGTTTTAGTGCATATTTTAAGTGTTTCTAGCGCATAAAGATCTGGGCCCTAGTTATAATATTTCATTTTAAATTATATTTGCAAGAATATATCTGCCATGTTGGCTGAGCACTGGGTGTAATAATACATTTGTAAATGATCTCTTCATTTCAAAGTTTTCCAATTAAAATTTTGTATACATTTCTCATCTCTCCCATTAATGATTGTATATACTGTCCATCTCATCCTCCTTGATTTAATTACCTAAATGATATATGATGAAGTCCCTTTTTATGCAAGTTCCTCCATCTTTCTTGGCTCTAAATAATTACCTCAGTCTCAGACTTTCTCAATCTGTGCTTTTCCCTCAGAATATAAGACCATACTTTGCACCCATAAAAGAGGTAAAATTATAATATACTCACCAAATATAATCTACCTATGATCCATTTACATTGAAATAATACGATGCTTTAAAAATGATAAATTTTATGTGTTTATGGTTATCTTTAAGGATATATGATACATGATCAGAGACCTCATGGATATGAGAAGTTGTTCTTGAGACCAAGTTTTCTTGAAATCCACTGTCCTGTTGAAATGATCCTGGAGGGAAGCCATTGTCATTAGCCATCGGTTCAGGAGCATCCTAAACACCACAAAGACAAGACACCACACCACAAATCAAGCTCAGCAGGAATACAGCACCATGCCCTTTTGTTTGTGCTAGAATTTACAAAACTGTGATATGACTCGTAAGTCTGCAAAGTAAATGTGTATGAAAGTAAATCAAAGAGTAAAGGCAATTCTAACATATCTCAAAAGTGATATTGGTAATTCTAAGAAACCATGGTGGACATAAATAATATGAACTTTCCTTCATTTGCAGCTACTTGATATTCACTCTCTCTTGAGCAATGATAATACTGCAACTCTAACATGTTTAACATGACTGTTTCAGTGATAGAACACACCAAAGAACAGTGATCTGTGATTTGATTTCTGCAGTCTGAGAGTCTGAAATGTAGGGAAAATTATGGAAAAATAACATTGCATATAACAACAATGTTATGAGGGAGAGAAAGTTTATAAATGGTGGAAAATCAAGGAAGTGCAGGCAAATGTTGATGATGTGTGTTCTGGGTTGCCAGAGACTAACACATGCCGAAATTAAGGAGTAAATTGATCAGCATGCCCAGAACAACCAAAGAACAAGCATTAATGACATGACCATCAGTTATGATAAGCCTAAAGCCCAACTAAATATATTTTATTCCAAAAGAATCTGTATTGTGATGCAAATGCCTTCTGGAAACTTGTGGACTGTTGAGCAAATGTACTTAAAAATAGAGCAATTACATAGGAAAATCAGATATATCTAATGTATAAAAAGTAAAGTAGTCCTTGCTTAATTAAGCAATGCACCATAAAAATGTATGGGTTGAGGCACAGCTTCAAGCATTCAAACCTCTGGACTAAGTGGAGGTGGGTAGTCAACTTAACTGCTGCTTCACTTCCAGGAAAGGAGTCCCTGGTTTCCAATGGATAGGAGAAATGCAGTGGTAACGAGAAAAATTCTGCCCTTGTCAGGAGTCAAATCCTGGTTCTCCCACATTCCAGCCCATAGAACAGTCACAATACTGACTGAGCCATGATTGGTTAACAGCTTTCTTAATGAACGTGTTAAGTTTAAATAAGGCTGCCTTTAATTTTGACTTGCCTTCACACAAAGCAACAAAATAACCCACCGGCCACAAATGCACATATACATATAGAAGCAAATAGTGCATTTGACAACTTCAATCTTTTATTAGAAACATGTTGGCAACAGACTGTTTCTTCACTTACTACAAATGAGGACATATGACAACAATGTGGTGGCGGTGGCAGTGGTGGTGGTGGTGGTGGTGGTGGTGATAGCAATGTGGTAAAAAGGAGTCTCTTGGTACTTTAGTCTCAAATGTGCCTATTGAGCTAAGGCATCATGGTAAGGACAAGGAGAGATGAGTGTGAAGCATGATGACTGGCAAGAAAAACAAAGCTCCCAGAGACACTCTCCCCATTACACACATGGACAGCCCTGGGACCCTGCACTAAGAAGTCAGTGACAAAAGATGTGGCATAATCATTACAGACAACAATACTAACTAATCATCAACATTTTCTGACAGCAAGCACACAAGAGTGTATATACATAGAAGAGCTGTTTTGGTATGTTGCTGAGATCATGTCTTTGGGAGGGAGGAAGAGATGATGTTTGAAAAATTCACTTTCCACTGGTTTGTTGAATATCTTACACAATATCCAATTCTTGATTAGTTTCTCATGTGAAAAGTTAGCAATTTAAGTACCTGAAAAGAATGTGTCATCACATAAATATGAAGAACAAAGAAGAATTCCAAAAGTAAGGTCTCCTATGTTTGAAAATATAAAATAAACATTTATTTTCAATTTTGGATACATCAGTTGAATCTTGAACATGTACTCATTTCTCTACATAATCGCCATTTCGGTTGATGCATTTTTGTAGGCGCAGTGGCAGTTTTTGTATGCCCCTGTCATACCAGTTCACCTCCATGCTGTTCAGGAAACTTCGAACCTCAGCTTTCACCTCATCGTCGTTGTTGAAGCGCTTTCCAGACAAATATTCTTTCAACTTTGGAAAGAGATGGTAGTCACTGGGCGCCAAGTCCGGACTATAGGGTGGATGGGTGATGATGTTCCATCCAAACTGTTGCAGTTGAGCGACGGTTTGTCGGGCAGCATGGGGGCGAGCGTTATCGTGGAGAATGCTTACGCCCTTGCTCAACATCCCTCTTCTCCGGTTCTGAATCGCCCGCCTGAGTTTTCTCAGTGTCTCACAATATCTCTCAGCGTTTATTGTGGTCCCAGTTTCCATAAAGTCAACCAACAATACCCCGTTTCGATCCCAAAACACAGTTGCCATGACTTTACCGGCAGACTGTGTTTGCTTGAATTTTCGAGGCTTAGGCGAAGAGGAATGCCGCCACTGACGTGATTGTTGTTTTGTCTCAGGTGTGAAGTGGTACGCCCAGGTTTCGTCGCCTGTGACAATTGAATTCAAGAAGTTGTCCTTTTCGTCAGCATAGCGGCGAAGAAATTCACGGGAAGAGTCAACTCTCTGCCGTTTGTGGTCTTCCGTGAGCATTCGCGGGACCCATCTTGCGCACACCTTCCGATAATTCAACTTCTCTGTCAAAACCCGATAAATGGTGGTTCGGGAAACCTCGGGAACCGAAATGCAGAGATCATCGAGTGTGATGCGCCTATCCTGACGCATGACTCGCTCAATCTTCGCGACTGTCTCGTCAGAAATTGACGGTCTCCCAGTTCTTTTTTCGTCGTGTATTGCAGTACGACCAGATTCAAACTCCCTACACCACTTGCGGACGTTCATGCACGACTCGCCATACACTTCCACCAATTGACGATGAATTTCAATTGGTTTAGTCCCTTTTGTGTTCAAAAACCGAATAACTGCGCGAATCTCACACTTCGTGGTTTTAGTAATCGGGAGCTCCATTTCTAACGGCAACCGTGCCAAGACTGAGCGTCCTAGCTATGTGCGCGCATGCTTGGTGGTATTGGGGGGAGTGGGGGAAGCAACAAATGCAACAGGGTTGCCAACAGCCGCACGAAAAATTACCCAGCGCTTTGGAGACCTTACTTTTGGAATCAGCTACAAGAGAGAGCAAATTCAATTATATAGAAAAATAACCCTTGATTTCTGCAGGTAATGCTACATTTAATGTGATGACAGCTAAGCAGGAAGAGATCTTCCAACATGTATATCTTTTAAAGCAAACCTACCAAAGAGTGAAGAATATCATGTGAAACATAAAAGTCTCATACAATGTACACACAGACATCAGTTACATCAGCACAAAATTATGTGGAATATAGCTGCCTCAAAAGTGGTGCAACAACTGAAGCAGAGCTCAACAGTGAAGTCAGATTAAAACAACTGATGAGCTCTGATATACAATTTGGAGTGAAGATTATTAAGTACACTAACAGATAAAAGACAGACAGATGAATATTCAATGTGAGTCACTTTTTCAGGACTTTATACAACATTGCTTGTAGGCTTTACTTAGGCATTGTACTTTACCTTGACTAAAAGAACTAAATGGGCTTGTAGTGAGTTCTACTTTCAAGAAAATCATGAACATGAGATATGGAACAAAATATTCACGGCAATGTCAAAATGTAAAGGTTTAAGTACCAGTCATAAAGATATATGTAGGAGTGGAGGTAAATCCTCATGAATTCACAAACTTGGCGATAAAGAGAAATGAGCATTTAGCTTTGAATTTTGGCTGTTTTGCCTCCATGAAGGAATCTAAAGTGTGAAGAAGATAGGTGGGTGGGTGGGCCTAAGAGTCATTCTTAAGGCAGTATCAAAAAGAAAAAATCTTGCCCCGATCAGAAATCAAGCCCTGGTCATCCAGCTAATAGTCAGTCTTTAATTAGTAAAAGGAACGTAAAACAGTCAAATCAGCTATGATAAATTACACACTTGTTACACTAATCTACTTTGGAAAGGCTGATGGTGAATCTGTTCATCCTGTACCATTTTATGTTAACTTGGGCTATAAGAAACATAGTGTAAATACCAAAACCAATTAAGATGTTCTTCTTCACTGCATGTAAATATCTACTATCACAGTCAATGATCTTGTGGACTGGCCGCAAAGTGTCGTTGCAGTGCACTGCCATGGATAGGTTAACGCACGATATGATGCCCTTTTAGTTCATCTCTCATCACAGCAAGAGGCAGTTGTGTGCAAACAGTGTAAGCAGAACTATGGCCTCTGTTGTGTACTGCAGTTAAATGTGAGTGGCATAAATTGAAAATGTAGCAGTTTCAACAATGGACAAACATCAAGTTCTGCAAATCCCATAGCAAAACATTTGGGCAGGAAGAACTGGCTGTTGCTACATGACAACGCCCCTGCACATTGCTCTGTTCTTGTCCAAGAGGAACTGACAAGGCAACAAGTCACCTCTTTGTCACACCCTCCACACTCACCTGAGCACGCATCATGTGATTTCTTTCTCTTTCATTGCTTGAAAACACAGCTACATGGTCATGGATTTCAGTTTTCCGAGGAGGTCGTCAACGCCACAAGAGACACCATACGGGAATTTCCCGCCAACATGTTTCAGTAATGTAAGATTTGAGATTTTCATGGCGGTCACTATGAAGAAAGCAGTCTTCTGGGATTTGGCACAGTGTATATGTGGTGTTAACCGACGTTTCGGAGGAATATATCGCCTCCATCTTCAGGGTAGAAGAAAAAATATAAGAAATCTGCAAGCGAAGAGACCGTGAGAACCGGTAAAATCAGACAGTCTGCTTTTACCGGTTCTCACGGTCTCTTCGCTTGCAGAGAGGCGATAAGTTCCTCCAAAACGTCGGTTAACACCACATATACACAGTGCCAAATCCCAGAAGACTGCTTTCTTCATGTTTCAGTAATGTTTTCAACAGCTATATCAACGTTGGCAACAACAACTATTTTGAGGGTTGATTTGGATCTGTGTAAGTGTATGTGAATACCTTGTAATATGATGCGACAAATTCACAGTCCACGAAAATCATGACTGTACCACATATAATTTATT